TTGCCCTGCGCGCCCGGACTGTTTGCGGGGACCCAGCAGTGAGCACGCTGTGCCCAGCCCCTGGCCAGTCGCGTCTGGGCTGCTGCCCAGCTGGTGCAATCCCGCCGCGGCCCCGGGGCGGAGGCATCGGCAGCCCAGGCCCGTTAGTTCCCCTGCAGGACCCAAGCGGGACGGGGGGGCTGGAGCCTGCTGCCCCCACTCCGGGGCCGCCGTGGGATAGCACCAGCCGGGCAGCAGCCTAGACGCGACTGGCCAGGGGCTGGGCGCAGCATGCGCGCTGCTAGATCCCCGCAGCAGGCCCAGACTCGGGGGGGTTCAGGCCCGGGCGTCCGAGCTGCAGCCACCAAGCTTGGTTTTTTTTTGCCCTGCCCCCCCCGCCGCGCCCCCCAATATTTGACTTGGGTGATCTGGTCACCCTACTGCTGCGGTAGCAGCGGCCAGAGCCCTGGGCCCTTTAAATCGCCCCTTAGCCCCAGGGCTCTCAGCCGCTTCTGCAGGCACAGCTGGAGTGGGGCCTTTAAATCTTGATTTAAAGGTCCTGCCTCTTCTGGTTGAGGCCACGCCTCTTCCAGTTGAGGCCAAGCCCCCGCTCAGGACTCCGGCATACCTGTAAGTCCTTTAAATTACTTTCATCCCTGTCCTCATGTAAAATTATTATAGTTGGTTGACAAACTGTGAGTCTGTTTCTACCTTCATTTATGCCAGTGCTACCCCAATTTGCTCTTCTGCGTTCCAAAAGAGACAGATAATTTGAAAAGGATAAAATTCAAATACGGCAAAACAAAAACAAAGCCAGTATCATCAAAATGTGAGCCAGTGCTACTCAGTTTTTATTCAACCCTCCGCTGGAAATTTTTCCTGAGTAAGGGTTATATAAAAGATAAGTACCGGTAAGTACCTCAGATATGGCCTATTAAAAGATGTGGCCTGGGAAGTTCAAGGGTACTTAACTCTCCTAGATACCTTTGAACATCCCAGATGTGGATTTGGCTGTTTAGCTTTGTTTCCTTAAATAGTTTAGTGTGATGACAAAATACTGACATCAGCTCAGAAATATTGCATTATCTGCATGAAACCTTGACTATCGGGGGGGTGAAATTGACCAGCATAGCTATTCCAAATAACAATTCTGCTATAGCTATTCGGTATAATTTAGCTAAGTGGAATAAGCTAAATCAGAGAAAGGCATTCTTATGCCAGAATAAGAGTGTCCTAAATGTCCAGGCATAGACAAGCCCTTAGAGGTGCACTGATTTTCATTTCTAAACTATTTTCAGAATATCCTCAAAACCCTTGCAGCAATTTATTAAACTGACAGAAATATCTTTAATAAATAACACGCCAGGCTACTTGATTTTGCCAATACAGTGGTGAAGAATGTTAGTTGAATTACTGCACATACCATAAAAATTCTCGGAAAGAGTTCTCAGTTCATAGATCTCTCAGAGAGAGATCATAGAGAAGGAAGAATGTGTGGGCAGGGCAGAGGAGAGGGGAATCTTCCTGCATGTACACATCTTTTCCCTCAAGAGAATCGTTTTGTCTTGCCATTTGCCTCTTTTTTAAACCTTTCATTAGCACAGTAGAAGTTGTACAGTTTATCTAGCTTCCTTTGATAAATAATAAATAGAAGCCCTAATTTTTATGGGGTAGCACTGGCATAAATGAAGGTAGAAACAGACTCACAGTTTGTCAACCAACTATAATAATTGGTTGTGACAGACCCAGACCAGTGGGGTACAGGAGTCTGGTAGAGGGCAAATATACTGGTCATTGGATGAGTAGTTTTCTGTTCCCTGAGTGACCAGAGCAGGGGCTGCACTAGAGTAATCAGGAACCTGCTAGAACCAGTTAAGGCAGGCAGGCTAATTAGGACACCTGGAGTCAATTAAG